CAGGGTGATGTTAATAACCTGTGTGGTCCTTCGTCGCTTCACAGAGGAAGTTGGATTTTTCTGTGTTGAATCCAGCTTGTGTGTGTGCTCCGCATTGATCCTAGGCAAAAAAGAAAACAAGAATCTTATGTAGAAAGAGCAGTGATATTGGTTTCACTTCAGAAAAGTATGTATATAGGGAAGGGAAACTTAAAGGTAGGGTAGGTACGTTTGAGAAACCGGCTCGAGATTGCTAGAATTTGAAAATACACAACCGGAGAAAATCTGTCACTTCCTTACAGAGCCCCTCCTCCAACACACACGAACGCGCACATGACCAATGAGGGCACGAGATAAATCTGTGCACAGATGGAAGGCTGACAGGCAGGTAGGCCATCCAGTTATTTTAGCCGGGCCGGCTAAAATGATTGGTCGTGCTTTTTACAGTACTACGGCTTCCACAGATGACATTTCTTTTATGGATTTTTTGTCAAAGCACTTAAGATATTCAATAGGTGCGTTCACACCGGAGTACTTTGGTGTACTTTTCCCACAATAGTTCATCAGAACTACGATATATTTGCGTTCACACCAAAAAGCCCCAGGAACTAAAGTAGCTCAACTTAGTTCGCGAGACTCGCTTTTCAGTCCCTGCTACAGAGCAGGGTCTCTCGTGGGAGAAAGTAGTTCCTACGTCTGATTGGCTGTGCGGAATGCAAACCATGCCCGTTTGATTCAGAATTTTTTGTTGTAAGCGGCCATTGTATTTCCTCGCTTCGCAGCACACCCGAAGAGATTCCTTTTGTGAAAGCAGTTATTATAGCAACACTAAATAAATCAATTGGAGCGGTGGAGTGATGAGGATGAGGATGTGTCTGCGCTTCTGGCGATTGACTCGGAGGACGCGAAGCGCCGCATTCAGAAGCTTCTACTGCATGCAGTTTCAGTGGATCAGCAAAGTTAGCAGACCTGGCAAAGTCATGTCGGGACGACTACCAAGGTAAAATAAAATACATGCACTGCACTGTTTTAATCTGCACAATACTGGTCTTAGATGTACTTTTATTTGCTCAGTAGATCGAGCTAGCCATGGTAGAACTTGCTAACGTTAGGTCCAAGCTGGCTAATAACATCTAGCTAGCTAGCTATTCTCATCCATGCCCGCTATGAACACGTTTTGACTTGTGAATAAGTGTGCAATGTTCTGTAATTTGCTTCACTAACTCATGGCACAAATCGTGTGTTTCAGGCGAGGTGTTTCTCTCAGGATTAGAAACTAGTTTTCCCCTCCGGGATAACTCGATAATATAACGTTAGCAATTAGCATGCTAGCTGGACCTGTGTGGCTACACTGAGGTAAACAATAGATTGTAGTTCCTCTAATTTCAAGTAATTTGCAACATTCATTCTACATGTTAATGGTAAAAGCTTAAACAGTTGATTACCTGCATGCCACAAAGACTGATGTTCTAATATTTTTGCACATTTAAGTAGAAATGTAATTGAAATTCTATTTACTGCCTAAATAAACATTGTTCCTTGTATTATCCTAAATAGTTTGACCTTGTTTCCTCAGAAGGCTTCTCAGACTACATGGAGGATCCCTCAGAGAAACACAGTTTCCACGTTCAGTTCCCCCCCGCTGAGAGTAGGCAGCTCCACACCCTGTGCCCGGTCCATCCTGACCGCTGCTGCCATACTGCAGCAAACAGGAGGGAACGGAGGTGAAAACACACTTTATACATTTAGATATGTGGAGCACAAAGAAAAGCATTGCTAAAAAACATTTAGCAGCTAAACTGTGGATAACAAGTAAACCACATTGGTTTGTTATTCAATATTCAAAAGCTTTTTGAATCATTACATGTCACTTGTTAGACGCTTTTATCCAAAGCTTACATACTCAATACTGTGGGCAATCCCCACAGGAGCACTTTGGGGTGAAGTGTCTCAAGGACACAACGACATGCTGACTGCAGTGGGGTTTGAACCTGTGCTCCCCTGATCCGAACACCAATGCACTTATCCACTGCGCCACACACCTCCATCCTTTACTCAAGTAGAAGTACAGATACTCGTGTTTGAAATACTCTGGTAAAACTTCTTAAGTAAAAGTAAAGAGGGCTTTGAAATGTACTTAAGTAAAAAGTACCCATAACTACCAGCTGTTTTAAAGAGTACCTGACCTCCCTTTATATTAATAGAACAATAATGTCATTGTTAGCTAATGAATGTTTCCATGCTGAACAACGGCAACATGACAACGTTTTCATTGGTCCCTCTTCTTTAGAGAAGACCAGGAAATGATGGATACACGGATCGTGTTCAAATCAATAGGCACGCAATGACTCTAAATAATAATGATCACGCCACCAAACACACATTCAAACTAAAGTAACCAGCCTGTTTGGAAAATGTAAGAAGTAGAAAGTACAGGTATTTGTGTTCAAAATGTAAGAAGTAGAAAGTACAGGTATTTGTGTTCAAAATGTAAGAAGTAGAAGTAAAAAGTGATCAGAAAAATAAGTAGTGGAATGTACTTAAGTACAGTAACGAGGTATTTGTACTCCGCTACTTCCTACCTCTGACCAACATGTATCTCTATATTCAGAGCACCCAGTATAAGACGGTGGAGCGGGTGGTGCAGACTCTGAAGAACCTGTGCTGTGCTCTGGACGAGACGGAGACCCAGGCCATCACTGAGGCCGTCAAAAGGCTGAAACACTCCGTCAACTTACCCCAGACACGCTCCCCCAAGGTGGGCTAACACTCTGCTTCACACGTTCATACAGAGTGTTGTTTACATGTTAATAGTCAAATCAAAGGTGTTCCCTGTGTTCCTCCTGTTGTGTGCCTGCAGAGACAGATTTGGACAATGTTGTGTCGTTGTTGCGATTAAACTGATCTTGTATCTTGCATATTTCACCTTAGGAAAGTGGGCACGCGATGACGGCTTCCTTGACACCATCATGGCGATGGCCCGCTGTGCCATGGTCAGCAAGGAGAATGAGGACCTGCGTGCCAAGGAGATGCACGACGAACAGCTGCTGCATTCACACAAGGCCCAGGAATCGAGGTGGAACAAAATACCTTTCAGGCTGGGCTTCTGGCAGTGCTAAGCGAGCTGATTAAATCCAACAGGCCTTCAATACAAAAATTAAGAAAAACTTGTCGTTGATAAACTGTACAATGACTTGTTGGGAGGCGTGTGATGCAGTGGTCTGGTGCGTTGGTGTTCGGATCAGGGGAGCACAGGTTCAAACCCCACTGCAGTCAGGATGTCGTTGTGTCCCTGGGCAAGACACTTCACCCCAAATTGCCTACACCTGGGACAGTTAATTTTGTATTATTGTGATTATATATATATATATATTGCCACTGTTATTATATTGTTTTGATACTGACACTTATTAATCTGCTTCTGATAAATAAAAGAGAACCTACATGCACGGCACTAGCATCATGACTGTCTTTGTTTAAACCAGCAGCAGTGCAGCGGTACACAGACTAACCTGTGTGTGTGTGTGTGTAACGTAGTTCTTCAGATGTGTATGCTTAACATGTATGTATTTATCACAGTAAAGATGGTATACAAAAGCTTTTTAAAGAGCTTTCAACCTCATCCCATTGTCTTTAACATAATAATATACTCATATTAATATACAAATATACAGTACGAGTACTGTTTTGATACTGACATTTAATCTTTGCACAAAGGTGTGTCTGCACTATTGTAATTGTGTCTGTTGACTGTGGTAAATAAAAGAGAGAACCAAATGCACAGTACAAAAGATCAGCTTTATTGTCAATTTACAATTTCCATGCTGTTCAGATGCCTCAAGGGCTGTGCGCGTGTCTTGCCCCGTGGCGATTTGTTTAGGTTGCGTCTCCCCAATGGTTGCTTCCAGGCGAATACAGAGGAGTTGAAAAGATCCACTTTGATCCACTGCACATTGGTGTGCACCAGGCCGAGGTTCACCCAGAGAGAGCGCGGGACACGACGCGTTCCGTAGTATTCGCATATCTGGAATACATACAAAGACACAAATTAGCCCTACATAACTCCATAAATCCTACATTAGATAGTATTAATGTGATTTAATGAACGTACCATTGCTGTTCTTTGGGCGTGATAACGGTCATCATCCTCCGCTATCGAAACATGTCCATAGCGTGTGCTTTTCGTGGTCCAATCCTTTTGTTAAGGCTTCTTAACCGCCTTCGCCTCCGACTCAGCATTTGTATTGCATTTGAATGGTCGATCTGTATTTTTATTTGTGGCTGAGTTATTGGCTTAAATAACTCCGTTACGAAGCTATATAACACGAGCACCAAAACGTCAACTCCATACCGTGTCTGAGGTCGGAAGGTAAACAAGCATACAGCGGAAGCTTTTCTTCTTCTTCTCTCGGTTTTTTGGCGGATTGCAACTTTAAGGTGCATACCGCCACCTACTGTACTCGCCGTGAAGTTGTTTGCAGCCTGCCAGGAAAATCTAAGCAGAAGAAGAATAAGTGACGTCAGCGGCTCATTTGCCTAATCCACCCCCAGGAACTCATTTTGGTGTGAACGCGATCTGCTTTAGTTCGTCAGAACTAAAAGAACTCTCATGAACTAAAGTTCTCAGGAACTACTGTGGGAAAAGTACTTGGTGTGAACGCGCCTATTGCTATCGGGATGTTAAGAGCATTCCATGGAATATAACAAAAAGTGTATCTCGAGCCGGTTTCTCAAACTTACCTACCCTATCTTTAAGAATAATTTGAAAAAAAATACTTTCCTGAAAAACAGGAGTTGGTTGGCTAAAATTGATTATCTTAATTAAATGTATTACTAAAAGTTTTAATAGTAAATCTTATTTCCTTTGACCAACTTTAACCAAATATGACCAAAGAAATAATCAGAAACCATTTGGAACGAAGCACATATATTCTTTTTTTTTCTAATCACTTTATCGAACAGTTGCACATGTTTTGATAGATGTAACCCAAAAAGATGTCATGCTACGTATCTGAAGTGTTTTACCTTGTGTTGTTTAGAGAGTCTTCCATGGAGCTGTAGTCCAGGCTGTCAGAGCTTATGGCTTTCTTCTCCTTTGCTTTAGTGTTTACACTTGAGTGTGCATTGGGAACCTCCATGTTAAGGGACGTCAGCGAGCTTCCTTCATTACCATGAAACTTGTTCTGTGCACGCAGGTTACGGTCAGCAAACGCCAGCTAAAAGGTACAAATTATAAAATATAGTGATGAAGGTCAGCAGCAAAACATTTCTTTTTTTATTATTTAAATAAATAGTTTTTCATTCTCCCCATGAGTCAAAATACTAACCTGTGCCTCTAAACTGGCCACCTTGTTCAAAAGTGCTTTCTCGTTGGTGTGGGCCTTATCCAAATCAAGTTGAAGCAGATGGTTTTCCATGGTAGTATCATTTACTTCACACTCTTTCACCTCCAAGGATTGCTTGAGTTTAATCGCCTCCTCTTGGCTTTCCTGGAGAAGCTGCTTTTTGCCATTGTAATGGCTCATGGCCTTCTCCATCTGTGGCATTGTGATAATAAAACAAATGTTAGAATGAATCACACCAAACAGTAACTCACTTTGCACATGAAACTGTAGATTAATCTAAATTGATAATTTTGGACTCTTAACAAGCTTATTAGGTAGGTAGAAATAAAAGTAGTGAATAGTGTTATGTCCTTGGAGGATTTGTTTTTACACCAACCTGTGCTTTGTAGTGTTCTGCAGCCTCAGATTTAGCCGACAGCTGTTCTTGTAGGTCTTTCTTTAGTGTTTGGGTTTCGTCTGCTTTTTCTTTCTCTTTCAAGAGTATCTCCTTCTCCTTTTTCAATATCTCCATCTCATGCTGTAGCAAAGATTCCAGTTTATGAGAGGCCTTGTTGTCTCTCTCCATGGCCTGCGTGGCTTGAGCGAGTCTATCCTTCTCAAACACCACAGCTTCATGTTGTTTCTCCAGAGCTTTCTGATTGTTCTCCGTCTGCAGTATCCTGGCCATGAGTACTTCTTTTTCCTGAACCAGAGCCTCCTTTTCTCTGAAAGTGGCAGCCTGTTCAGTCTCTTTCACTCGGATTTCTACAGCTTGTGTCTCTTTGTATTGGTCCAGCTGCTGCTGAACGAGCCCCGTCTGCTCAGAAGACTCCTGCTGAGCTTCAAGTAACATCTGCTCTTTATCAAGAAGACCCTGAGATGTGGTTTCAACGTTCTCTTTCAGAACCTGTATCTCATGTTGAAGGTTATCTGTCTGGTTGGAACACGCCTCCTTTATATCGGTCAGCATTTTCTCTTTGGCTTCAGCTTCCTCTCTTGTTTTTTGAATCAAATTAGCTTGGGCAGTGACCTCCTCTCTAAGAGTGTTCAGATGTTGGTCTTTGTCCGTCAAGAGTTGGTTGAATGCACACAACTCTGTCTGGAGGATCTGAAGCTTCTCCTCAGCCTTGAGGATATGGCTCTCTTTCTCACTCTGAGATTCTTTTAATTTTTGAATCTCATCTTCCTTGTCGTCTCTCTCCATGGCCTGCGTGGCTTGAGCGAGTCTATCCTTCTCAAACACCACAGCTTCATGTTGTTTCTCCAGAGCTTTCTGATTGTTCTCCGTCTGCAGTATCCTGGCCACGAGTACTTCTTTTTCCTGAACCAGAGCCTCCTTTTCTCTGAAAGTGGCAGCCTGTTCAGTCTCTTTCACTCGGATTTCTACAGCTTGTGTCTCTTTGTATTGGTCCAGCTCTGCATTTACTGACGCCAGCTGCTGCTGAAGGAGCCCCGTCTGCTCAGAAGACTCCTTCTGAGCTTCAAGTAACATCTGCTCTTTATCAAGAAGACCCTGAGATGTGGTTTCAACGTTCTCTTTCAGAACCTGTATCTCATGTTGAAGGTTATCTGTCTGGTTGGAACACTCCGCCTTTATATCGGTCAGCATTTTCTCTTTGGCTTCAGCTTCCCCTTTTGTTTTTTGAATCAAATTAGCTTGGGCAGTGACCTCCTCTCTGAGAGTGTTCAGATGTTGGTCTTTGTCCGTCAAGAGTTGGTTGAATGCAGACAACTCTGTCTGGAGCAGCGACGTGCAGTCAGTGGAGGCAGGGGAGGCAGAGCCTCACCTGTCATACTCCAATGTAACGGAAAAACAATTAAAGAAAAACTAAATAATAATAATAATAAAATGTCTCCACTGATCTTGTGTAAATGTGATTTCTGTATGATTCCAATCGCATTTTATAGTCAAAATCAGCAAATTTGCCGAGCTCCGCTACGGGAGCGATAAGAAGTGAGGCAAGCACGAGCACTGCCTCACGTAAGCCCACAGTAACTTGCTGGAGCGCGGGCACTAATTTAGCGGGGCCACTTATTTTGTGAGCGCGCTCAAGCCATTTACTGTGGGGTGACGCATTCTGAGGGGAGGCACAGATGAGCTCTGCCTCAATTCAGAATGTGTCACCCCACAGAAACTGGCTGGAAAGCGGGCCCTAAGCGCATGCCTGTTACCATCTCACTGTAGGTCACCAATGTGATGTTTGTAGATCCCTTTATTACATTTATCCTCGCCATCCATAGTCTCTAAATAACTTATTTCACGTATATATCATATTTAGGCTCGCTGGTCTTATCATACAACGGCAATGAAACAATTACATGGGGAGGCAGCCATAACCTCTGCCGCACTGAAGGGGGCGCACGTGAGCCCACAGGTTCTTGTTGCTACTGTTATTCTACCGCAAACAACAAACAAAACTTTTGAAACTACAGGAAGATACGGAGGACTTTTACAAAACAGTAATAGAGATTGTTGTCCAGAAGGATAGCATGGACTTATATTCATCTTCAAGTCAAGGTAAGACCACAACTGTAATTAAAATGGGATCTTACTTAGAAAGAACAATCCAATATTTAGATTTTGGGTATCCTTTTGTTGATCGGTCTGTTTAAAATTAATCATAGCATCAGACTAAAAAAGCTTTTGAAAATAACAGAATATTTCGATTAAGGTCAAAATAGGCTATAATATTTGTAAATCTGACTGAAAGAGTCAGTGCCTCACCAGCCATGAACCTCACCGCACGTCACTGGTCTGGAGGATCTGAAGCTTCTCCTCAGCCTTGAGCAGGGGTGGGCATTTTACGGCCCGCGGGCCACATCCGGCCCGTTGGCCGGCCTTGGCCGGCCCGTGTGAGGTTGATCATAAATTACAACAAAATGAAAAAAAACAGCAACCTTTTCAAAATAAAAGCAACACAGCTGTATTGCTTGCATGGCGTAAATACTTTTCTAACTGTGTTGCTTTTATTTTGAAAAGGAAGCTGCTGTTTTTTTTATTTATTTACGTAAACGCTTATGCCGTAACAGCTACGAGTGATGCAGGCCGGCTAGTCCTCGAAATGTCCGCTAAGGGAAAAAAAAGAAAGATCGATACTGAATGCCGCATTTTCAACAAGACATGGACCGCTAAGTATTTATTTACAGAAGTGAAAGGTAAAGCTGTGTGTTTAGTTTGTGGTGCGCAGGTCGCTGTGTTCAAGGAGTACAATTTGAGTCGCCACTATGCTACCAAACACGCAGATAAATACAAGAACCTGTCTGAGGAAGAGCGGGCAAAGGGGTCGGATGCTTTGCTAGCTAAGCTGCAAAGCCAACAACACATTTTCACAAAACATTCCACATCCAGAGATGCAGCTGTCAAGACGAGTTATGTCTTAAAAGTTAACCGTTTTCGGACGAAGAGTTCATTAAGGAGTGTTTGTTGGACACTAATATGCCCGGAGAAAAAGGAGGCATTTGAGAAAGTGCCGCTCTCCCGACGCACTGTTACGAGGAGAATTGAGGACATCGCGGGAAATCTGGAGCTTCAGCTGCAGAACAGAGCGGTCAACTTTGACTTTTTTTCCTTGGCTTTGGATGAGAGCTGCGATGTACGTGACACTGCCCAGCTACTCATCTTCCTACGTGGGATAACTACAGACTTCAAAATCACGGAGGAGCTGGCAGCCATGCAGTCAATGAAAGGTACAACAACAGGGAGTGATTTGTTCACGGAGGTAAATGCATGTGTGGAAAAGTTGGGACTGAAATGGGACAAGCTGACAGGCGTGACAACGGATGGTTGTCCAAATCTGACAGGGAAAAATGTTGGACTATTGAAGAGAATGCAGGATAAAGTGACAGAAATTAACCCTGAGCAGAAATAGGTATTTTTGCATTGTATTATACATCAGGAAGTGTTGTGTAAGTCAGTGTTAAAAATTAACCATGTTGTTGATGTTGTAACTAAAATAGTTAACTTCATCAGGGCAAGAGCATTGAATCACAGACAGTTTGTTGCACTTTTGGAGGAAAGTGAGACTGAACATCGTGACATACCCTACCATGCAGCTGTCAGGTGGCTCAGCCTGGGCAAAGTGCTGAAAAGAGTAGGGGACCTGAGAGAAGAGATTCAAGACTTCTGTGTGAAGAAAGGAAACGACATCCCACAGCTTTCAGATGCAGACTGGATGGCAGACCTTGGTTTTGCTGTAGATGTGACTGCACTAATGAGTGAACTAAATGTCAAACTGCAAGGCAAGGGCCTTTTTGTGCATGACATGTACAGTGCAGTGAAGGCTTTCATGAGAAAGCTGCAGCTTCTCTCAAGCCAAATGGAGGACAACATTCTCACGCACTTGCCAACACTGAAGGAAGCCACACCATCAGCTGATCACCTCCAGAGGTACTCATCCATGTTAGAAGCACTGCATGGTGAGTTTTCAAGGCGATTTAAAGACTTCAAAACAGTTGAGAATGAAATGAACATGATCTTTTCCCCATTTACATGCCATGTGGATGATGCACCCAGTGATGTTCAGCTTGAACTAATTGACCTGCAGTCTGACACACTTCTGTCAGAGCACTTTAGGTCAGTCTCACTGCCTGAGTTTTACTCTTCCCTGAAAGAGGAGAACTTTCCACACATCAGGAGACGTGCTCAGAAGATGATGGTCCTCTTTGGATCTACCTACATATGTGAACAGACATTCTCAGTGATGAAGTTCAACAAATCCAGATACAGATCCTCTATCACTGATGATCACCTCTCAGCTGTCCTTCGCATATCCACCTCAGACATTGAACCAGATTTCCGTGCACTTGTTCAAGCCCAAGACAGACTGGATTTTTCTCACTGAACAAGTAAAATGAACTGAAAAACAAAAATCAAAAGCACTCATTCATTTCTTATCTTTAACATACTGTAAAACACCTTTTCAGTATTGGTATATTGAGCAGAATTAAGTTCAACTTATTTTTGATTCGGCCCCCCAACACAGCTCGAGTTTCTGAAGTGGCCCCTTGTAAAAAATAATTGCCCACCCCTGATCTAGACAAATGGTGTTATAAAGCAGAATTGCATATGTGACACTACTGTCTGTCAGTATGGCATATTATAAAGAAATGGAGGATTGAAAAAATGTGTGACTTACATCTTCTTCCTAAATAGGCATCAAGTTCTTTGTTCAGATAAACGCAGCCGTCACTCTCCATTACATAGCAACCAGTTAGGTTTGCTATCTCTCGCTACAGATAAGAGAATAGGCACAGAATAAAATAGTAGCACAACACATGATAAATGAAATGTGATGCATCTAAGTGGTGAACGCATGCACTTAGTAGCAAATCAGAAAAAAAGCTTTCTGCTTACCTCCGATTCACATTCCATCATGTTCAGAGTGCAGCGGTCATTCATCATATCGTAGTACACAAGCAACAAAAGCACCTGGTGGCATCACAAAGAATAAGTGAGATTATGGTCCTCTGTTTATGTTTGTCTTTGTATTGTGTTTGTTTCATACCTTTGAAATTTCTACTGTGAGATGCATCCCATCTTTTATGTTGTCCCAAGATAGTGAAGTGCCTTTGGCTGCATTAAATCTGCAATCCCCTAATAGCAAAATCAATAGAATAGATGGAAGAAAAAAAAGCAATATGTCACATATGTCTGGCATGTTTGAAGGTGCCAAAGTGTAAACTTCAGACCACGCCCAACAATGTCACGGGGAGTGGTCTGGAGTAGCACATTTGAAATGTTTAACCAGAAGACGTTAGAATAATCAATGCCTACTCTGAGCTACTTTACACAATTCAAGAAATTCTTAATGATTTTTGCTGTGTCAAGCACTGTCAGATGACAATTCATGAGTCTTCTGCATGCAATCAGTACAGTGACAGGTCTAGAACATGGTAAGCCTTCTTAGCACAAAACTGGAAGCAAGCTAGACTTAAATCACATTAAAGCAATATCTGAAAATATATATTTTTTAAGGTATAGAAACTCACTTTCCACAAAGTCTGCAATGAACTGGAATCGATCCTTGATAGTATTACTGACACAGGAGTTGGGTTCCTTTTTCCTGAGAGGACAGAAGGAAATAGGAATAAAGTGGAGGTTTAGAGAAATGATCATCTCTATACTTCAAAAGAACCCACTTACAAGAAAAGCATTTTGAAAATGTAGTTCAACAGTCATTGGCCATCACTTATTTACACAGAACAAACATGTGATCACATGATGCTCCCTGATACCTACTACTTACAGCATATAAACAACTTTCAGTAAGACTGTCCCATCTTGTAAATCGTCGACAGTCATATCGCGCTCAGACAGTTTTAAGCTGTTGACCTGCAAACACATGACGTTAGTTTGACAAGTTGGGTAAATGGTAGCTACAGTCAACATATTGGCACTATATGACCAAGTTTAATTTCAACTTACCCAGCTCAGAAGAGCCGTTAACCCAAGATTCATCACTGGAGGGGAGAGAACAGATGGTGGAGGTAAACGGTACTCTGTCCCCCCCCCTCCCAGTGAGCTGTGGTGTTCCACAAGGAAGCATATTAGGTCCGTTACTGTTCCTAATTTATGCAAATGACATGTCATCAGCATGTGACTGCAACTTGTTCCTGTTCGCGGACGACTCAGCCCTGCTGGTCTCTGACAGGAGCAGATTGCAGGTTGAAAAAACCCTCAGCTCCGAGCTCGGCAGAATCTGCACCTGGCTCGCCGATAATAAATTATCATTACACCTGGGTAAAACAGAGTCCATTCTCTTCGGTTCGAAACATAATCTCAGCAAATCCGACGACTTCTCAGTTGCAGTGGGTGACATTATTGTCACAAGTAAGAAGGAAATTACATACCTAGGATCTATTCTTGAGGCAAACCTCTCCTGTGACAAAATGGCATCCAATGTAATAAAAAAAGTCAATCAAAGAACTAGATTCCTATACCGGATCTCCTCTCTGGTAAACAAAAACACCCTGAAAACTCTGGCAGGAGCACTCATTCAAGGGTACTATGACTATGCTTGCACGTCATGGTACCATAGCACCTCCAAGGCGCTAAAAACAAAACTTCAAACATCGCAAAATAAACTGGTCAGACTACTGCTTGACCTTTCATCTAGAACCCACCTCACCTCTGCCCACTTTGACAACCTAGGATGGCTTAGAGTAGACGACAGAGTACAGCTACTTGCAATGGGCCTGGTCTACAAGATCCACTACACCTCTATGGTACCCATGTACATGTCAAAATTCTTCCCAAAGGTCAAGGAATACCATGATCATAACACCAGAGGGAGCTCCACAAATCATGTAAAACCCAGATTTGGCACAAAAAAAGGGGAATACACGTTTCGCAATTATGCCACATCAAGGTGGAACGCTCTTCCCACAACTGTAAAGGAAAGTAAAACTATACTTACCTTCAAAACCTCTCTTAAAGAGCACCTTCGGGGGAAAGCATTGCAAAACTGGCCCCGGTAATGGTACAAATCTCAACCTGTCGTACAATGGACAGCTTCCCCCCCCCATCTATGTATATACTCGCATTTTAGACTCTGTTACTAACTGTATATCTGTAGACTTGGTATGTCTTAAATGTCCGGTTAGGATGTATTAGAACGAAATCTAAAATGAAAATTGTAAATAAGCCATCTGTATGTAAAAAACCACCTGTATGTAAATTGTAAATAAGCCATCTGTATGTCATATATGTCTTATATGTCTTAAATGATATGATGAATTGGAAATGGGGGACCCTGATGTAAACAAGACGAAAGTCTTTCTCTGGTCTGCATCCCCTTAACAATTGTATGTTTTGAGCTGTACTGTACTGTACCCAATATACAAGCTGTTAATAAACTTTTCAATCAATCAATCAATCAATCGCCATCTTGGCTGACCCTTTTTCCCCAAAGGGATTTCAACCTGAAAACATGGAAACAAACAAGCCTTATCAGCTAACGAATTAGCAAATATAAGCATTGACTTTGATTATTGACGTTCACAAGTTTTCATCCAAAACTATGTTAGTTAACGATAAGTAGTTAAAGTTAACGATACACCTTGCTAAACTTCTGGTTTGCATGTTAGCAAAGTTATTGCAACTGCCAACATATATGCGTTACTGTAACGCTAACTGTAACCTATCGAGTGAGTTTATATTTAAAGACCAACGATGATAAAGATGTGGCTTACAAGCAGTGACTTACCTTGAAAGACGTTGTCCTTTTTTTCTGTATCGTATTTATTCTTTCTCTGAAAAGGGACGCAGCCGTCCGACTACCTGCCTAAAAATAAACAGTCGAGTCCAGTGCAAAAACCACACACAATTAAAAAAGGGTAGCTTAAGATCGAATCAGCCAATCAGGTTTCATATATTGACGCGTCTGAAATTAAGCGAATCTGATTGGTTGAAATGCATGACGTCTTTAAAGTTGCGCTTGTTTTTGACGCCGGAGCGTTTCAGTCTAAAGTAGGCGGAGACAACTGACGTTTAAAAACCAAATGGGTAATATTCACAGTGGACATTAAAATGTTGTTTGGCTCAATTTTCTTCCGTGTCCGAATCATTACGTTACACGCGGGCCAAACACATAGAAAATATAAAAAATAAAAAAGCATTGCTCCCGCTTTGCAGCAGCAAGGCGTTTAATGTTTCCATTTATGTTAATTTAATGTAATTGTAGTTTTTAAATTACTGTCTGGTCATTAATGTGTTAATTACTTACTACCCGACTCCGGATAAGTGGTTGACGATGGATGGATATTACAATACTTGATAACTGCATACGAAATTATTATTTTGTATTGTAAGGTGTTTCTAGCAAGCGAGTAACTATACATGCACAGTTAATCATTGATAGGCAGCATGTGTGCTCCTTATCGGCTTATAACTCTGTAATTATCAAATGTTATACAGTGTGTAGCCTATAGGATTAGAGGTCTTTGGACATTACTTTGGGCAAATGCAATTTAAAGGTTATCTTGATCGATAACAAATAAACCCTAACTACAAATCCCATGTAGGCCTACCTGTTGGTTGCCGTGGAAACGCCGTGTTGTATCTCCACCTTTATATATACAGTCTATGATCTCCACAGGCAGGTAAAGTGGAAACACGGGTTGCTCATTATTACCCTCAGTTAAATAGCGTGTTGCTGAGTTTGTCGGTCATTTTTTTAATAGGCCAACATTAAATCAAGGTAGGTTCATAACCGGATGTAAAAGGGAACAGAGTATTCAATTGTGTTTCTATACAAAATATAAGAACTGCAAGTTGTCTGCAACGTAATAGTTTGTGGCCGCTCCGTAATTACTGGGTTATGACAGCAAAGCTATATCATGTGTTTGAATATTCGTGATAGGCCCTATACGATGTTAAAAATATGAGGCTTTTTGTTTTTCAAATGAATTGCGTATGATCTTCTTATTTACGATGAAGTCACTGTCCTTCAACAGGTGACTGAATCTATAGAGGTGTGATTATGTATGGAGCTCCAGTGGATTTATCTTTCAAAAACATCTGCAGTTTGGAAGGTATACACTTATACACAGGTTTATACTTTTACTGTATTATGTTTATTTGTATTATCTTTGCTTTTTAATGACTGTTTTTAAATGCCATATTCTTAATGTCTTTCATTTGTGTAAAGCACTTTGAATTGCCTTGTGTTGAAAGGTGCTATACAAATAAACTTGCCTTGCCTTGCCTTGTAGCCAATACTATTGTGTGATTCCTACCTAAACTATATTATGACCTCTGCTAATTTTACCTTTGCTTAAATGGCTGAACATTACAGTGGATTACCATTAAGTTATCTAAACATCAGGGGAACAAAATCAGCATATCAATGGATCCAAAAATACGAATGGTCTAATGTACTTTGCTAGCAAAAAATGAAAAAGCCTATAAGATAGCTACTTCATGTGGAAGACAGTAATACATAAAAAGGCATATACATGTTAAATTAAGCAGGGTTAACAACCCACACCTAAAGACACAATATCTATGTTTATATATTCTATATACTGTTTTATATAGTTATCTATACATATATCTATGTATATAGTTTAAAAACGTAACATATTTTAAGTTCAATGGACATTGACATAGACACAATACATATACAGTTGATGCCTTGGAAACTATGTTCACCATATAAAAAAAATGTCACGCAAGAAACTATTCAATTCAAAGTATATTTTTCCCTTTTCTTTGGTCTCAGACGCATGGACTGAAGAACCCAGCAGGGGTCTGCGGCCTTTAAAGAGAAATTCAGAGATGAAGTACCCAAGCTGCTCTCTACGTCTCAATAATAACAACATCCTCGACCTCCATGACCTCCAGAAGACGGTTAGCTACTTCCTGGCCGAGCCTTCACAGCTCGCCTGGCTGGACCTCTCCTTCAACAGCATCTCACACATAGATAAAGTAAACTTCCTCTTTCCTTGGATTAGCATGTCTTCTTTCTCCCACAGTACATCTGCAATATGCATGTACATGTGTGTGCTTGTGTTCCAGGTTTTGTGCGAGCTGCGTGAGCTGCGTGTGTTGTATCTTCACGGCAACAGCATTTTCATTCTCTCAGAGGTGGACCGGCTGGGAGCACTACCACATCTACACAGCATCACTCTGCATGGAAATCTCATAGAAACCAACAAGGCTTACAGGTGGAGAGTTTCTTTTAAATGTACCCCAAACACATTCTGCTTAGCTGTATGATGATACTTTTAATGATCAGTCATTGTTGTGTGGTTATTTATTTAAAAAACTGAGTGTGAATGAATGTGCAAAGACATATTTTTCCAAATCTTGCACTGAACTTTCATTTTGAACATATTTCTTGTACAATGTTTATAGTATCTTTTTCATTTTTATTTTATTTTTACTGTCATAGTCTATATTTATATTTTTGATTAAGCAGTACTTTCCTGTCATTGTATTTTATTTGTATACACTTGATTTTTATCGGATGCACCAAAACACCAAGGCAAATTCCTTGTAAGTGAAAACCCACCTGGCAATAAACCTTATTCTGAATCTGATTTAACAATATACAACTGCTGGTGGTTTGCTGAGTGAGACTCAAATACTTGGCAAGCCTGTAGGTGCTCAGCATTGTAACAGGTGCTTAAATGCACATCAAGCTCATGTTACAGTTCATATTCCAGTCTGCATAGCAACACCACAAGCACACACAGAAAGAGAGAGGGGCTGCTGGTCAAAGGTCTATTCTAATTAACCAGGTTCTCATAAATCCTGTACGTTTTTGAATCATTTGTATTTAAATGTGTAACACCAGAAAGGGGAAATAAGGTTGGATTTCAACATTCAATTGTTGCAAGCAAAATGTATTAAAACGATTTAGTGCGTGTGCATCAATACTTGTTTTTGTCCCTTTAGGAATCATGGGATTTCTGCTCTGTCTCAGTTGAAGACGATGGACTTCAGTGCTGTGACCCGACAGGAGCGAGTCATGGCAGAGATTTGGCATCAGAGCAACAGCCGCATCAGAAGCAACAAGTTGTTAAAATCATAGTTTCACCCAAATGTCCTGTGCCCCAAATCCATTGCTATAATTAAAGGACAATCATTGATCAAGTAAGGGGTGGGAATTAATAAGCATATGCTTCCTCCTACTCCCTTTCAGACACATATGATTTATTATTATTAATATGAAGACTTTTTGTTTTTTGTTGAATATATAAATATTATCATGAATGTGGATAAATACTGTATTTTAACAATACGGTATTCTGTTTTTCACATTTGTTATTTTTTTAATCTGTTCGAAATAAAGATTGAAATGAAATAATCATTTCTAAAACATTGTTTCCTTGAATATTTATGGCATTTTTTCAATGCTTTTGTCCAATTTCTTTGATGGAATTAATAGTTTGGGCATTAACATACTGCTGATGTGCAGCCACTTCACAGGTATAAGCAATAAGACAAGAGCGCTTATGTTGAAAATCTTTAATGAGATAATTAAACCAAAAAACAAACAAAAACAACCAATTCTTAAAACTTTTTGGTGCTAGCCTAAGATATATCAAACATATGTCGGGTAGTAAAACACATTTGAGTAACAGAAACAAATGCCAAGAACCCATTGCAAAAAGCTCAAATCAGTTGCGTGGTTAAAGTAAAATGTACATTTCAATAAAATTGTAATTATAATGTGAAAGCCTTTACTCTGAACATGTGTGTCCTGTAGATCCCCACATTCACCACAAACCCACATTCAGGACTGTGCATTTTAAATAATTTAACTACTCAATATTTTAACACAAAACAAAACAAATAATTGTTATTTATCAAGATCTAGCCATTTATGAAATAGCTTTCTTAATAGCTATGTTTTAGTGGCGTTCAAGATCATTAAACATGACTTAAATTGTTAGTATAACCTTAAGAAATGAATTGCACATAATAATTCCCACGGAGCTGTGAGCACTTATACATTTATGGGACGCTTTTCCACTCATTCTTCCAGTTCTCCGTTTTCCTGAGTTGAAATCGACCAGCTGTGAAGGTGGGGGCGGGGCTTTTATACGCGAGTAGTGAAAACACTTCCGCGTAGTCTGCTCTCGTGTATCCTCCCTTTCGTCTCCTCCCGCACCCCTCCTCCCTCACCCCTCCTCGACTCCTCCGTGTGCATTTCAGCTATTGGGACGTCCTTCAACATGGCGTGGCTTGATCGATTTCCGGGTCAAGTCCCGGAGGAGGGGAAGAGAGGAGTCGAGGAGGGGTATTGAGACGAGCCTAGACTGTTGTCACTTTAGGATGCATTTTCCAGAAATTGCAATTGCAGTAGAAAAGATGGATTTTGACAAGGTTTAAGTTTATCAGAAGATTTCTAGACCAAGCTGCACCAGACACGACTCTGAGGTAAGTGGTTCAAATAGCAGGCTTTTTTTATAGTGTATTTTATCACTTTTATTGACAAACATGTAAATATAATACAGATTAAATGAAAAGTAATTTAATTTTAAAGAAAAGATAAAAACAATTATACAAGGACAACATTATAAAAGAGATTTCAGCGTAAAAAATATGATTTAAGTAAAACCGTAGACGATCATCACTGGGAACCAGTCCTCAAACCTTCATCCTGCTCATCATCTGTGGGATACAAAACATGTGATTAAACCAGAGATTACAGTGAAGCATGTTTTTATACAATATGTTCATTTATTGAAAGCTAAAGCCAAGTGTGTTTTTGTGACAGATACATGTGAAAACCTTTATATATACAGTCTATGGTGAAAACCCATAAAGTTTATATATGAAATGAACACACCGTGTGTTATTATGGCAAAAGTAAAAACCCAACCAGCCAGTGTAAGTCAACAAACCCTTATTCCACAAAATACAATTACTTTTATTGACCTTTAAACACCTCCACGAAGGTTGTCTTCATTTACAGACACGCTTCTGAAAACGGTTACTGAAATGTTAATGATCATGAAGTTTTGCGTCATTGTCATATCAATCAGATCCCTGATTAGAGATTTCAAACATAATCCATCTCTCGTAGTCAAGGACAAAATAAACAACACTCAAACTAGGGACAGAAATCGAATGAAAAGTTTACGTCAGCATCTCCACTACGTGCTGCTGTTTGATTATCAGCAGATGATGATTCTTTGTCATGCCTGCAGCCTCATATGCAGCCTGCACTCCATTTACACTCCATTTGGGCTACACAAGCTACCACAAGAGGCATGCTGGCACGGGGAAATAAAGTGCAGAGAGAAAAACATAATAATAATCTGTACCCTGTAAAACCCTGAATGGATTTGTCTGTGTGAGTGTTTACCTTGCGAGCACTAGACAGTCCAGGAGACTTTGCAGACCTGCTGGTGGCTTTCTGTCCTTTAGTGGCAACCTGAGGGGATTTAGAGCTGCCAATTTTTCCTGTCCGTGCCACTCCAGCACGGGAATCTGCCGCAGGGTTGTTTTCATTTTTATGCACAGACTTCTGAGCAGGCGACTTCTTTGAAGTTTTTCCTGGGGATTTCCGAGTGGAGCTGCGTAGTTTGTTTATGTTTTTTGTAAGGAAGTTGCTGGTTTTTTGAGGGGTGTTGTCAATACTGAACATCATTGACTGCCTCCGATCAACCTAGAGAATAATACAAGGGTAACTGTTAGAAAAACATGCAAAACATTGTATGTATCCTTTTGTTCCCTAAAATGACATATATGTAATATATTCTGTGTGTGTGTTAGTGTGAAATATTTCACTCACTGGACTGAGGGCGGTTCGAATCTGAGAGTTGAAAGGCTCACTCATCACGTTCTTGGCTTTGGGAGTGAGTGGTCGGGGGAAACAGCTGGCCCTCACCTTTTTCTGTCAGATGGAAACGTGGAAAGACAAAGAGGATTTCAGAAAGTTACATTTAAGAGTAACTTTATGTTAAGAGTAAGCTTAACAAATTAAATAAGCAAACAACACAAAAGCCTGACAACTATTCTTTGAGAATAATGCTCAAAATGTCTGTTCATGTCAGCCAATAGGCAAATGTGGTGTTCAGGCAAGTGGCAAAGACATGTAATATGATAAGATACTTTACAGTTAATTGTCAGAGATAGCATAGGGAAAAGGTACATTTTCAATACTAATTACATTATGAATAACCTTTTAATGTAAGGAAACCTCAGTAAAACATTAAAGTTGGCCTATGAAACATTCATAATTTGCACTTCAGTCAGGCTCTCACATTAAGCAACACAAAATGTAACGAATACTCATGTCCTGCAGGACGCAAACCAACCTCAGGCGAAGTTTGGTGTACGGACAGCGTAGATGAAGACCGCTTGGTGCCTTTCGGGCTTCTCAGCTGAGAGGAGCTGACGGTTTTTGATGGCAGCTCGGGCATCAAGGACAGACGGTGAGAACGAGTATTGGCAGCGGCAGCCGAGTGTCCCACCATGAGAGAGTGCCGATGGGAGGCGAGAGAATCTTGCAGCTGGCCCGGCATGGTGGACCCCCGGCGGATGGTGTCAGACGGGTCGCCCGTACGGAGCTCTTCGTCTGTGAAGAGGAATGTCGCGCCACGGCATGGCTGAGAGAACAGAGAGAGAGGGATTTATCAAACTGATAGAAAAGGATTAAGGGCATAGAAATAAACAAAAAATGTAACCTTGTTTGGTACCATTTCTTAGGGAAGGGAAGTTAACCTGAGATGTGTACCTTTTCTGTGTATTTAATTTTACATTTTGATTCGATAAAAACATTAATTCTATTATTGTTTTTGCAGAATCTTTTTCTCTTGTTGATTTAGTTGGTTACTGTTTCTAAAATACAATTGTTTATCTTTCACATTTTTGAAATCACGTTAATGTGTTTTTGTGGTTCTTTCATGGGCAGTAAATGTTAATGAGCACTGACATAACAATATGCTAAACGTATAATCTTTTTCTCAAAATGTGTCTTTAAAAAAAACAACCACTGGTCAACCTCTATAAATATTTATTGGGATGGTGGGCAGTACACGACCAGACCAAGTGTATAATATAGTTTTCAGCCAACATTATCATGTTTGTTTGTTTTGCTGATTTATTGCCACAATAATTCCCTGTGCATTATATCTCAATATTTTTCCCCAGCAAAAGTATGTCTATGGTGTTCAGTGCATCGAGTGTCATCTTCTACTAACGTCAGACTCCACGGGGTAGCTGCTCTTCAGATGAGGAAGGACGGCCTTGTTCCTGGCCTGGAGCTCGGCAATCCTCATCCAATCATCAGTACCACTGTCAGACTCGTTCTCATCCCCCGCACAGAATGCAGCTGAAGAGGGAACAGATGTAGAAAAAACATATTTTTTATACCCACCATTGAAAAAAATTGACACACAGACGGAGATAGAAAGGCACGCCTATTTTAAACTTTCAAATAGAGTCTTGTCTCCAAATTACTAAACTATAAAAAAAACTGTTACAATGATGTAGTTATTAAACATTAAAGTTTGCCAGTTTTTCTTGGTCTTAGATTATAATAAAGTATGGATTTGGGGGATTTAGACTGTATGTCGGACAGAAAAATATATTGGATGTTGTTACTTTGCACTGACAATGGGATTACCACTTTTTTACTGTTTTTGATATTCTATGATTAAAACATAAAAGATCATTTGTGAAAATAGTTGGCAGAATAATCTGAAGTTCATTTGGGGCCATTTTATCCACAGGCAGTTTTGTTGGTCCCAGCTATGCATTTACCAGACAGACCTCTTTCTTAATTTCTCCTTAACTACAGGCTCCTGTGAGTTAGCCAGGTGTCAACTTACGCTGTGAATGCATGGTGCTCCGCCTGTAGCCTGGAAGACCGATGAGCTGGTCGCTGGCAGCGCCGGTCAATCTGGCAGGCGTGTCGAACAGCGTCATAGATACGGGGCGTGCAGAGTGGGCACTGGAGATGTTTGGATGGGAGCGAGCCGAGGCCAGACTGTAGAAAGTGTCATCATGCTCACCGCCGCCTGGGGTTTTCTACAGGTTTAAGGGTTAGGAATTTCAAGAGGGCAAGTTAGAACATTTTGGTTCAGCCGTTTGAATGCAAGTGAACAGACAGCAACCAACAACCTGAAGAGCAAACACAGCTCTTTAGTTGCACATTTTTATATTATGATGGTCAAAACAAGCACAGCAATGCTAAAGATACATCATAATATAATAGCATTATTGAACAATGAGAGTGAAAGAACCAGCTAAACCTTAAGAAAACCAAATAAGCAAAATGTCCTCGTAATTAATATATTTGAGGAATAGTGATAGAGAAGCCAGTATGATTATATAACTGTTAAGGGACTATATAAATGTAGTTTATTCACAGTGTGCCTTATTTTGAACATGCAAAACATGCAATGAGTGTGCAAGTGAGTTTCCTCCACCTTGGTCAGGGTGATGTTAATAACCTGTGTGGTCCTTCGTCGCTTCACAGAGGAAGTTGGATTTTTCCGTGTTGAATCCAGCTTGTGTGTGTGCTCCGCATTGATTCTAGGCGAAAAAGAAAACAAGAATCTTATGTAGTAAGAGCAGTGATATTGGTTTCACTTCAGAAAAGTATGTATATAGGGAAGGGAAACTTAAAGGTAGGGTAGGTACATTTGAGAAACCGGCTCGAGATCGCTAGAATTTGAAAATACACAACCGGAGAAAATCTGCCACTTCCTTACAGAGCCCCTCCTCCAACACACACGAACGTGCACATGACCAATGAGGGCACGAGATAAGTTTGTGCCCCGATGGAAGGCTGACAGGCAGGTAGGCCATCCAGTTATTTTAGCCGGGCCGGCTAAAATGATTGGTCGTGCTTTTTACAGTACTACGGCTTCCACAGATGACATTTTTTTATGGATTTTTTGTCAAAGCACTTAAGATATTCATTGCTATCGGGATGTTAAGAGCATTCTTAACAAAAAGTGTATCTCGAGCCGGTTTCTCAAACTTACCTACCCTACCTTTAAGAATAATTTGAAAAAAAATACTTCCAAAAAATTACTGAAATAAATGGTTCAACATCTACATTTACTACACTATACTGAAAAAAGCATTTAGAGAACTATAAAACCCCCACCACTTTCATTCACTAAATGAGAATATATGCCTCCTATATGGGCTGGGCCTAATATGTGGCTGTTCTGTGAAATACCACAGTTGTCTCAAGTGTCTATAGTACCTGTTGATCTGTCTGCTGTTTATAGGTGTAAAGTACAGGGTCTCCAGGGACTCCGCCTGTAGACCTCTGTGTTTGGCTGCCAAGCGCTCTGAACTGCGAACAAGCGGTGTGCTTGATTCATCAGGCGCTAAAAGTTTTCTGCAAAGGTAAGAACAAGAGTATTGTGTGAGTAAAATAAAAATAAACTCCACAATGCCATTAATGTTAGATTTCATGCGTTTCTCTCAAGCCTTATATCTTCTTACTTGAATCAGACATGTCATTAAAATAATGGGAACTAATTTAACGGTGAACAATGTCAATTCAATGTTATATACTGTATGTAACAGGTGAAAAGCAGGAGTTGGTTGGCTAAAATTGATTATCTTAATTAAATGTATTACTAAAAGTTTTAATAGTAAATCTTATTTCCTTTGACCAACTTTAACCAAATATGACCAAAGAAATAATCAGAAACCATTTGGAACGAAGCACATATATTCTTTTTTTTCCTAATCACTTTATCGAACAGTTGCACATGTTTTGATAGATGTAGCCCAAAAAGATTTCATGCTACGTATCTGAAGTGTTTTACCTTGTGTTGTTTAGAGAGTCTTCCATGGAGCTGTAGTCCAGGCTGTCAGAGCTTATGGCTTTCTTCTCCTTTGCTTTAGTGTTTACACTTGAGTGTGTATTGGGAACCTCCATGTTAAGGGACGTCAGCGAGCTTCCTTCATTACCATGAAACTTGTTCTGTGCACGCAGGTTACGGTCAGCAAACGCCAGCTAAAAGGTGCAAATTATAAAATAAAATATAGTGATGAAGGTCAGCAGCAAAACATTTCTTTTTTTATTATTTAAATAAATAGTTTTTCATTCTCCCCATGAGTCAAAATACCAACCTGTGCCTCTAAACTGGCCACCTTGTTCAAAAGTGCTTTCTCGTTGGTGTGGGCCTTATCCAAATCAAGTTGAAGCAGATGATTTCCCATGGTAGTATCATTTACTTCATGCTCTTTCACCTCCAAGGATTGCTTGAGTTTAATCGCCTCCTCTTGGCTTTCCTGGAGAAGCTGCTTTTTGCCATTGTAATGGCTCATGGCCTTCTCCATCTGTGGCATTGTGATAATAAAACAAATGTTAGAATGAATCACACCAAACAGTAACTCACTTTGCACATGAAACTGTAGATTAATCTAAATTGATAATTTTGGACTCTTAACAAGCTTATTAGGTAGGTAGAAATAAAAGTAGTGAATAGTGTTATGTCCTTGGAGGATTTGTTTTACACCAACCTGTGCTTTGTAGTGTTCTGCAGCCTCAGATTTAGCCGACAGCTGTTCTTGTAGGTCTTTCTTTAGTGTTTGGGTTTCGTCTGCTTTTTCTTTCTCTTTCAAGAGTATCTCCTTCTCCTTTTTCAATATCTCCATCTCATGCTGTAGCAAAGATTCCAGTTTATGAGAGGCCTTGTTGTCTCTCTCCATGGCCTGCGTGGCTTGAGCGAGTCTATCCTTCTCAAACACCACAGCTTCATGTTGTTTCTCCAGAGCTTTCTGATTGTTCTCCGTCTGCAGTATCCTGGCCATGAGTACTTCTTTTTCCTGAACCAGAGCCTCCTTTTCTCTGAAAGTGGCAGCCTGTTCAGTCTCTTTCACTCGGATTTCTACAGCTTGTGTCTCTTTGTATTGGTCCAGCTGCTGCTGAAGGAGCCCCGTCTGCTCAGAAGACTCCTTCTGAGCTTCAAGTAACATCTGCTCTTTATCAAGACGACTCTGAGACGTGGTTTCAACGTTCTCTTTCAGAACCCGTATCTCATGTTGAAGGTCATCCGTCTGGTTGGAACACGCCTCCTTTATATCGGTCAGCATTTTCTCTTTGGCTTCAGCTTCCTCTTTTGTTTTTTGAATCAAATTAGCTTGGGCAGTGACCTCCTCTCTAAGAGTGTTCAGATGTTGGTCTTTGTCCGTCAAGAGTTGGTTGAATGCACACAACTCTGTCTGGAGGATCTGAAGCTTCTTCTCAGCCTTGAGGATATGGCTCTCTTTCTCACTCTGAGATTCTTTTAATTTTTGAATCTCATCTTCCTTGTCGTCTCTCTCCATGGCCTGCGTGGCTTGAGCGAGTCTATCCTTCTCAAACACCACAGCTTCATGTTGTTTCTCCAGAGCTTTCCGATTGTTCTCCGTCTGCAGTATCCTGGCCATGAGTACTTCTTTTTCCTGAACCAGAGCCTCCTTTTCTCTGAAAGTGGCAGCCTGTTCAGTCTCTTTCACTCGGATTTCTACAGCTTGTGTCTCTTTGTATTGGTCCAGCTCTGCATTTACTGACGCCAGCTGCTGCTGAAGGAGCCCCGTCTGCTCAGAAGACTCCTGCTGAGCTTCAAGTAACATCTGCTCTTTATCAAGAAGACCCTGAGATGTGGTTTCAACTTTCTCTTTCAGAACCCGTATCTCATGTTGAAGGTCATCCGTCTGGTTGGAACACGCCTCCTTTATATCGGTCAGCATTTTCTCTTTGGCTTCAGCTTCCTCTCTTGTTTTTTGAATCAAATTAGCTTGGGCAGTGACCTCCTCTCTAAGAGTGTTCAGATGTTGGTCTTTGTCCGTCAAGAGTTGGTTGAATGTAGACAACTCTGTCTGGAGGATCTGAAGCTTCTTCTCAGCCTTGAGGATATGGCTCTCTTTCTCACTCTGAGATTCTTTTAATTTTTGAATCTCATCTTCCTTGTCGTCTCTCTCCGTGGCCTGCGTGGCTTGAGCGAGTCTATCCTTCTCAAACACCACAGCCTCATGTTGTTTCTCCAGAGCTTTCTGATTGTTTTCCGTCTGCAGTATCCTGGCCATGAGTACTTCTTTTTCCTGAACCAGAGCCTCCTTTTCTCTGAAAGTGGCAGCCTGTTCAGTCTCTTTCACTCGGATTTCTACAGCTTGTGTCTCTTTGTATTGGTCCAGCTCTGCATTTACTGACGCCAGCTGCTGCTGAAGGAGCCCCGTCTGCTCAGAAGACTCCTGCTGAGCTTCAAGTAACATCTGCTCTTTATCAAGAAGACCCTGAGATGTGGTTTCAACTTTCTCTTTCAGAACCTGTATCTCATGTTGAAGGTTATCTGTCTGGTTGGAACACGCCTCCTTTATATCGGTCAGCATTTTCTCTTTGGCTTCAGCTTCCTCTCTTGTTTTTTGAATCAAATTAGCTTGGGCAGTGACCTCCTCTCTAAGAGTGTTCAGATGTTGGTCTTTGTCCGTCAAGAGTTGGTTGAATGTAGACAACTCTGTCTGGAGGATCTGAAGCTTCTTCTCAGCCTTGAGGATATGGCTCTCTTTCTCACTCTGAGATTCTTTTAATTTTTGAATCTCATCTTCCTTGTCGTCTCTCTCCATGGCCTGCGTGGCTTGAGCGAGTCTATCCTTCTCAAACACCACAGCTTCATGTTGTTTCTCCAGAGCTTTCCGATTGTTCTCCGTCTGCAGTATCCTGGCCATGAGTACTTCTTTTTCCTGAACCAGAGCCTCCTTTTCTCTGAAAGTGGCAGCCTGTTCAGTCTCTTTCACTCGGATTTCTACAGCTTGTGTCTCTTTGTATTGGTCCAGCTCTGCATTTACTGACGCCAGCTGCTGCTGAAGGAGCCCCGTCTGCTCAGAAGACTCCTGCTGAGCTTCAAGTAACATCTGCTCTTTATCAAGAAGACCCTGAGATGTGGTTTCAACTTTCTCTTTCAGAACCCGTATCTCATGTTGAAGGTCATCCGTCTGGTTGGAACACGCCTCCTTTATATCGGTCAGCATTTTCTCTTTGGCTTCAGCTTCCTCTCTTGTTTTTTGAATCAAATTAGCTTGGGCAGTGACCTCCTCTCTAAGAGTGTTCAGATGTTGGTCTTTGTCCGTCAAGAGTTGGTTGAATGTAGACAACTCTGTCTGGAGGATCTGAAGCTTCTTCTCAGCCTTGAGGATATGGCTCTCTTTCTCACTCTGAGATTCTTTTAATTTTTGAATCTCATCTTCCTTGTCGTCTCTCTCCGTGGCCTGCGTGGCTTGAGCGAGTCTATCCTTCTCAAACACCACAGCCTCATGTTGTTTCTCCAGAGCTTTCTGATTGTTTTCCGTCTGCAGTATCCTGGCCATGAGTACTTCTTTTTCCTGAACCAGAGCCTCCTTTTCTCTGAAAGTGGCAGCCTGTTCAGTCTCTTTCACTCGGATTTCTACAGCTTGTGTCTCTTTGTATTGGTCCAGCTCTGCATTTACTGACGCCAGCTGCTGCTGAAGGAGCCCCGTCTGCTCAGAAGACTCCTGCTGAGCTTCAAGTAACATCTGCTCTTTATCAAGAAGACCCTGAGATGTGGTTTCAACTTTCTCTTTCAGAACCTGTATCTCATGTTGAAGGTTATCTGTCTGGTTGGAACACGCCTCCTTTATATCGGTCAGCATTTTCTCTTTGGCTTCAGCTTCCTCTCTTGTTTTTTGAATCAAATTAGCTTGGGCAGTGACCTCCTCTCTAAGAGTGTTCAGATGTTGGTCTTTGTCCGTCAAGAGTTGGTTGAATGTAGACAACTCTGTCTGGAGGATCTGAAGCTTCTTCTCAGCCTTGAGGATATGGCTCTCTTTCTCACTCTGAGATTCTTTTAATTTTTGAATCTCATCTTCCTTGTCGTCTCTCTCCGTGGCCTGCGTGGCTTGAGCGAGTCTATCCTTCTCAAACACCACAGCCTCATGTTGTTTCTCCAGAGCTTTCTGATTGTTTTCCGTCTGCAGTATCCTGGCCATGAGTACTTCTTTTTCCTGAACCAGAGCCTCCTTTTCTCTGAAAGTGGCAGCCTGTTCAGTCTCTTTCACTCGGATTTCTACAGCTTGTGTCTCTTTGTATTGGTCCAGCTGCTGCTGAAGGAGCCCCGTCTGCTCAGAAGACTTCTGCTGAGCTTCAAGTAACATCTGCTCTTTATCAAGAAGACCCTGAGATGTGGTTTCAACGTTCTCTTTCAGAACCTGTATCTTGTGTTGAAGGTCATCCGTCTGGTTGGAACACGCCTCCTTTATATCGGTCAGCATTTTCTCTTTGGCTTCAGCTTCCTCTTTTGTTTTTTGAATCAAATTAGCTTGGGCAGTGACCTCCTCTCTAAGAGTGTTCAGATGTTGGTCTTTGTCCGTCAAGAGTTGGTTGAATGCAGACAACTCTGTCTGGAGGATCTGAAGCTTCTCCTCAGCCTTGAGGATATGGCTCTCTTTCTCACTCTGAGATTCTTTTAATTTTTGAATCTCATCTTCCTTGTCGTCTCTCTCCATGGCCTGCGTGGCTTGAGCGAGTCTATCCTTCTCAAACACCACAGCTTCATGTTGTTTCTCCAGAGCTTTCTGATTGTTTTCCGTCTGCAGTATCCTGGCCATGAGTACTTCTTTTTCCTGAACCAGAGCCTCCTTTTCTCTGAAAGTGGCAGCCTGTTCAGTCTCTTTCACTCGGATTTCTACAGCTTGTGTCTCTTTGTATTGGTCCAGCTCTGCATTTACTGACGCCAGCTGCTGCTGAAGGAGCCCCGTCTGCTCAGAAGACTCCTTCTGAGCTTCAAGTAACATCTGCTCTTTATCAAGAAGACCCTGAGATGTGGTTTCAACGTTCTCTTTCAGAACCTGTATCTCGTGTTGAAGGTCATCCGTCTGGTTGGAACACGCCTCCTTTATATCGGTCAGCATTTTCTCTTTGGCTTCAGCTTCCTCTCTTGTTTTTTGAATCAAATTAGCTTGGGCAGTGACCTCCTCTCTGAGAGTGTTCAGATGTTGGTCTTTGTCCGTCAAGAGTTGGTTGAATGCACACAACTCTGTCTGGAGGATCTGAAGCTTCTCCTCAGCCTTGAGGATATGGCTCTCTTTCTCACTCTGAGATTCTTTTAAGTTTTGAATCTCATCTTCGCGTGAGGAAATCTGTTCTTGTAGAATCTCCACTTGTTTGACTTTCTCCTGTAGGCTTTGGAGAGTCTCCCCCTGTTGAATATTGTCTTGCTCTTTTTGAGCCAACAGATCTTCCTTTGAGTGCACATCTTCCTCAGCCTTCCTCAGCGAGGAGCCAAGAGTCTCAACTTGCATTTTTAGGATTGTGATCTCTTGATGTAGCAAATCGGACTGCTCTGAGCCGTCACTTTTTAGAAGTATTACCTGTTCCTCGGTTGCTTGGATCTCCTCCTTCATCTTCCTCACCTCTTCCTCAGAAGCTGATAGTTGATGCTGCATAAGCTCCTTCTGATCAGCGCTCTCCTGCTCCTGCTTGGTGAGCATGACTAGCTGAGTCTGAACCTTCTCTTGAGCTTCTGTGAGAGAGTCACCCATATCAGCGAGTTGGTTTTTGAGACATTTGATCTCCTGCTGTAGCATGTCCGACTGTGTGGAGCCCTCTTGCTCTAGCTTGACCATATGTTCCTCTTTAGCCTGGATCTGCTCCCTAAGACCTTGTATCTCCTTTGCAGAGTTTGTCATCATGTCTTGAAATTTATCATTTTCCTGAGAAATCTCAATTTCTTTCAGAGTCAGAAGGTTTTCTTTAGCCTGAGCCTGCTCTACTGTAGTCTTTAGGGAATCGGTCAACCTTTGGACTTGGTCCCTAAGAGTTTGGATTTCGTTCTGCAGCATTTCTGACTCCTTGCCGTTCTCAACCTTTAACAGTTCCAACTTGCTTTCTTTAGTTGTTGTCTCCTCCCTAAGCCAATTGACCTCCTCCTCAAGAACTGCTCTTTGCTTTCCAAGTGCCTCAATCTGCAAAATGTGTTGTACATTTTCATGTTGGGTTTTAGCCAGTAGCTCCTGCTTAAGTCTAATTTCCTGTTCAGCCCGTTTGAGAGATGAACTAAGGTCTTCCACTCGGACGTTAAGGGCCTGGATTTCTTTTTGAAAAATGTTTTGCTCATTAGACTTCTCAAGAAGTAATTTGGCAAGCTTTTCCTCTTTGGCTTGAATTTCATTTTTGTTGTTCATGGTTTCATGTGTAAGAATGTCAATTTCTTCTCTGAGCGTGTTAAGGAGATCTTTCTGTTGAAGAAATAAATAAATTGAAGAAAATAAGAACATTCATGACCATCTGATACAAACAATTACAACAAATATTGAAAAAAGCAGACTTTATATTTGATAAACTCAATTCAGCTTTAACATTAAATCATTGACCTCACCTCCATTATAGGTCCCATATTCTCTCCTACTTCTTCCTTAGTGGCCATGTTTATGTCATCCTCCAAACAGGAAATCTTTCCCTGCAGAATCTGAAGTTGTTCACCCAGAAGCTCCTGGGAAACAAAACAAGGCACAATATATTAACACTTTTCAATAGTAATCATTCACAAACATCATAGCATTGCTTTTTTTGTTGCAAAAAAGTTTAGATCTTATATTTACTACCAGAATCATTTAAAGATTTTCCAACACAAATTCTATTAGAGTGTACCTTTTGAGCGGTAGCTTGCTTAAGTTCAGACTGCAGTTGGCCTGTTTCACTGGTCCACTCCTTCTTTGAAGATGCTTGGGTTTCATTCAGCCTGCCAACTTCTGTCTCAAAGTAGGCAAGCTGTGAACGCGCGGTTCTCACCTGCAAAAATATGAATGGAAACATTCACAATCTGCATTCAGGATTCAAGCAAATAAGAACTTCCTGACTGATTTTTTGGAAGTTATATTCCCCCTCTGCATTGTGAAACAAGTTACAGAGAAAATCCCCACATCAACTTGTGGTTGTTGATAATAATCAAGTTGTAAGAGGCTTAATTAAAAAGATGCTCATATTTAATTTCAATAATCAACAACAAAAGTGTTATAGGGGATTTTGCACAACTATTTACAATCCATCAAACTTTTTTTATTTTTCAAAGGCTTGACTAAGTCTTAAAATCTCATTATCATGTAAAAGGGTTGCTATAAGCGATTACCCGACTCAGATTTGCATATTCACCATATGCAACAGCATGTTCACAAAACTGAGTTTCAAGAAAAGTCGGTTGGTATTGCATCTTTCCAAGACATACAAATTGCACATGACTGCTATTATTTTCCAATCCCCTCATTAGTGATAAGACAAAGAGCTTACATTTCACAGAAAAACTTGCATGTTTTTACCTGGGATGACAGTACACCATTTTCATCCGCCAGCTCATCAACTTTGCGTTCCATAAGTGAGGTGTTACCCTTGAGGTCTTTATTTTCCTTTAACATCTCATTAAGACGCATTTGTAACCTAAGACAGAAAAAGAAGGAAAACAGTTTCTCATATCCATTTCAATACAATTGTTTCATGTTCAGGTTAAGGTATAAAACAAGCACTTTCTTGAGCAAAATATCTGACTGGTTACACATTATCATATTGCCGAGTTAAACATTTGTGAGATATTTGATATAACAACACGGAGCAGCATTCACTCTAACTCCACTTGCCATTTATAAATGAGTAATACTTTGCTGTAACATGAACTTAATATCATTTGTAATCGCAAAGCTACTGGCACATCCATATAAAAATATATTCCAAATAGTTATTCACAAACCTTAAGATAAAAACATATCTTGGATTTAGAATGTTTAATTAAGTCCTTCAGGAATAAATAAATTGTAATAATTCCAACATTTATATATTGGTATATTTTTCCAAATGTCTTCATCCTGGGTACTTACGTGTTTTTCTTGGTCTGAAGCTCATTGATTTGTTGCCCGATAACATTTTCACGATCACCATGAGATGCTTTCAGCTTTTCCAGGCGGTACTGCAACTGTCTAATATGGGAGTCTGAAGAAAAAAAAACAAGTAGAACATAGTTTAATTTGGATAGAAAAGAATAAAGAGTAAATGAATAGACTGACATTATTATTCACGCTTTCAGTGGCACTTTGACAGATAACTCAAATGTTAATAAACATTACTGGGAATAGAAACGGCAAAAAAAAAGGATAAAAAGTGTAACTAATATTATTATTTATCCATCATTTAAATGGGTTACCTCTTTGTGAAAGGAGTGCAAGATTGCTGGCCAGCTCCCGCACCAACCCATCTTTGTAGTCTCTCTCCTTGATCATCTCTCGTTGCATCTTCCTCAGCTGAAATGTAGGTGTGTTCATGATATCCTGCAGAGGAGACTTGCTGTGGAAACCAAAGCAGAAGCAAAAGAAATACAATCAAATCAAGACAGCTGCTCATGGATTTACGTACACAAAGAGATATATACAACTATCAGATAACATGTATATTAGACTGCTTCATGTTATGTTTCAGTAATATCCAACCCTTCAGAGTCAGCCATATTCTGATTGTGTGAAATAAAAAAACAAGTTTAGCAAGGTATAGTAGATAAACCTGCTTCCATGTTCGTCCAAAACTTTTTATAACAAAAAATAGATGCACAACTGCCTGGAGCCGACAGCCTTTTAATGGACAAAACTATATAAATTGAATATCGTTAGGAAAAAGGGTTTGATAGACAAGTACCCAAATTAAAGGTTTGGATTAACGTTGCCCTTAAAGTTACGTATTCAGATTCAGACTGTCATATCAATTCAAATTCACACTGTTACCTGGTTGAAGAAGAAGCCACAGTTTGCATGTCCATAAATGAGACTTTCTGTCTGCGGTGCACGACAGGGGAGTCGTCACTGGACGAGTACAATGGTCGTCGTCGCTCAACTTTACAGGGAACAAAAATAACTGTAATTCATGGAGAAATACATTTTGACTTATTTTACATCTTGCATTTTGAATACAATCTAGACAAATGGTGTTATAAAGCAGAATTGCATATGTGACACTACTGTCTGTCAGTATGGCATATTATAAAGAAATGGAGGATTGAAAAAATGTGTGACTTACATCTTCTTCCTAAATAGGCATCAAGTTCTTTGTTCAGATAAACGCAGCCGTCACTCTCCATTACATAGCAACCAGTTAGGTTTGCTATCTCTCGCTACAGATAAGAGAATAGGCACAGAATAAAATAGTAGCACAACACATGATAAATGAAATGTGATGCATCTAAGTGGTGAACGCATGCACTTAGTAGCAAATCAGAAAAAAAGCTTTCTGCTTACCTCCGATTCACATTCCATCATGTTCAGAGTGCAGCGGTCATTCATCATATCGTAGTACACAAGCAACAAAAGCACCTGGTGGCATCACAAAGAATAAGTGAGATTATGGTCCTCTGTTTATGTTTGTCTTTGTATTGTGTTTGTTTCATACCTTTGAAATTTCTACTGTGAGATGCATCCCATCTTTTATGTTGTCCCAAGATAATGAAGTGCCTTTGGCTGCATTAAATCTGCAATCCCCTAATAGCAAAATCAATAGAATAGATGGAAGAAAAAAAAGCAATATGTCACATATGTCTGGCATGTTTGAAGGTGCCAAAGTGTAAACTTCAGACCACGCCCAACAATGTCACGGGGAGTGGTCTGGAGTAGCACATTTGAAATGTTTAACCAGAAGACGTTAGAATAATCAATGCCTACTCTGAGCTACTTTACACAATTCAAGAAATTCTTAATGATTTTTGCTGTGTCAAGCACTGTCAGATGACAATTCATGAGTCTTCTGCATGCAATCAGTACAGTGACAGGTCTAGAACATGGTAAGCCTTCTTAGCACAAAACTGGAAGCAAGCTAGACTTAAATCACATTAAACAGGGTTCTTACACCTTTTCCAAAGTCAAATTCAAGCACATTTCAAGCATTTTCAAGGTGCATTTTCAAGCATCTTACAGCTGTTGTAAATTACATATTTATATACACATACTTATACTCAAATGATTATTTCCCTACCTCACATTAAATCAGATGTTCTTTATGCTATAAACAACCAAATGTGTGTTTCATAATAGCATTCTACATGAGGATGAAAAATTAAAAATTTTAGAAAAGAAAACTAAGTTTAATATTTCAAAATGAGTGACCCATCTGTACGTAGACTGGGCATCCCATATAACCTGGCTGAGCCAATATAAAACAATCAGCCAAATAACTTTTCAATACATTATTGATTACTATTTTTGAGGTACTTTTAGGTTGGCAGTAAACACAAGTCAGAGGTAAATGGTGTACTTTGACTCCACTACATGTATTTAATACCTTTAGTTACTTTACAGATGTGGATTAACGATGTGAAATATAATCAAGTGTTAAATCAGACTTTAGTTCCACCTGGAGTAAATTCACAAGCTACCCTGCAGTATACAAAGTCATTCAAACTAGCTGCACCTTTACCAGCTTTGATAACACTTTCATGATCAATCATTATAAAACATATACAATTATTAGGGATGCTCCGATCGCCAATTTTGGGGCCGATCGCCGGAATCAGTATCGGCCGATACCGATCGCCGATCCGATCGAGTGGGCTATGGGGATCTTCCATTTAAAGTGATGTTTAAAACTCAGTTAATGGGGCTCATTCACTGGCGCTTCCACAAACCAACCAAAATAATTATTACATTCAAATGAAGTACATTATTCAAGTTTACATTATCTTGGGATAATGACACGGGAGAAATTAGCGGAAGCGCTCTCTTTTCCTCTCTCCCCCTCTCTCTCTCCTGACAGCCCGTCAGTATCTCCTGCAGCTCACTGACCCAGTAATGAGTGACCCGACAGTGAAGAATAAATATATTTATAACTAGTTTAGCTTGTTCCAGAGGTAGATAAAATAGCTAAGTGTGTTAGGTCTAACTCTTAATGTGTGTTCTGCTCCGCTCACCGGTCCGTCACAGCGGGTGGAGCTGCAGGATTTCTGCTTCACACACACGTTGCATACCGCAATTTTATTGTCATTTTCGGACACTTAAAATACTGCCAGACTAGTGAAACCATTTTGGCGAGCTTGTTTTGCCGCGCAGAGAAAAGTGTCATGTATTTTACATGCAACGATAGCCTAATCTAACATGCTCTACTATGGCGTACCTTTCGTGTGGTGTGTGGCTCGTCAGCGCAGACTCTCGCATCGTTATTGTTGCACACTTTGCAGGAGGCTACTCTTGGGCTTCGCTTGACCCTCGTCTTAGCCATGGCTTGTATTTGTCTTCTGCTAGCCAACGCTCGTTGAAACGGCAACCTCCTGGCATACTGTCATCTATCACTCTCATCAGAATGCCCAGGTCACACATGTAACAAAAACACTTGCCGGTCACGCGCATTGCGCGGGAAGGCCGGAGCGGAGCTGTTTTATGTAAAAGCGAAGCAATTAAGCGCGCTCAGACTTCTTTATTTTCTTTTAATCTAAAAAGCGAAGTAAAGCATTTACAATTTCAAGCACTTTATCACAAATTTAAGCACCATTCCCAAAATTCAAGCACTTTTCAAACCTTGAAAACACCTCGTACAATTTCAAGCATTTTCAAGGATTTCCAGCACCCGTACGCACCCTGATTAAAGCAATATCTGAAAATATATATTTTTTAAGGTATAGAAACTCACTTTCCACAAAGTCTGCAATGAACTGGAATCGATCCTTGATAGTATTACTGACACAGGAGTTGGGTTCCTTTTTCCTGAGAGGACAGAAGGAAATAGGAATAAAGTGGAGGTTTAGAGAAATGATCATCTCTATACTTCAAAAGAACCCACTTACAAGAAAAGCATTTTGAAAATGTAGTTCAACAGTCATTGGCCATCACTTATTTACACAGAACAAACATGTGATCACATGATGCTCCCTGATAGCTACTACTTACAGCATATAAACAACTTTCAGTAAGACTGTCCCATCTTGTAAATCGTCGACAGTCATATCGCGCTCAGACAGTTTTAAGCTGTTGACCTGCAAACACATGACGTTAGTTTGAAAAGTTGGGTAAATGGTAGCTACAGTCAACATATTGGCACTATATGACCAAGTTTAATTTCAACTTACCCAGCTCAGAAGAGCCGTTAACCCAAGATTCATCGCCATCTTGGCTGACCCTTTTTCCCCAAAGGGATTTCAACCTGAAAACGTGGAAACAAACAAGCCTTATCAGCTAACGAATTAGCAAATATAAGCATTGACTTTGATTATTGACGTTCACAAGTTTTCATCCAAAACTATGTTAGTTAACGATAAGTAGTTAAAGTTAACGATACACCTTGCTAAACTTCTGGTTTGCATGTTAGCAAAGTTATTGCAACTGCCAACATATATGCGTTACTGTAACGCTAACTGTAACCTATCGAGTGAGTTTATATTTAAAGACCAACGATGATAAAGATGTGGCTTACAAGCAGTGACTTACCTTGAAAGACGTTGTCCTTTTTTTCTGTATCGTATTTATTCTTTCTCTGAAAAGGGACGCAGCCGCCCGACTACCTGCCTAAAAATAAACAGTCGAGTCCAGTGCAAAAACCACACACAATTCAAAAAGGGTAGCTTAAGATCGAATCAGCCAATCAGGTTTCATATATTGACGCGTCTGAAATTAAGCGAATCTGATTGGTTGAAATGCATGACGTCTTTAAAGTTGCGCTTGTTTTTGACGCCGGAGCGTTTCAGTCTAAAGTAGGCGGAGACAACTGACGTTTAAAAACCAAATGGGTAATATTCACAGTGGACATTAAAATGTTGTTTGGCTCAATTTTCTTCCGTGTCCGAATCATTACGTTACACGCGGGCCAAACACATAGAAAATATAAAAAATAAAAAAGCATTGCTCCCGCTTTGCAGCAGCAAGGCGTTTAATGTTTCCATTTATGTTAATTTAATGTAATTGTAGTTTTTAAATTACTGTCTGGTCATTAATGTGTTAATTACTTACTACCCGACTCCGGATAAGTGGTTGACGATGGATGGATATTACAATACTTGATAACTGCATACGAAATTATTATTTTGTATTGTAAGGTGTTTCTAGCAAGCGAGTAACTATACATGCACAGTTAATCATTGATAGGCAGCATGTGTGCTCCTTATCGGCTTATAACTCTGTAATTATCAAATGTTATACAGTGTGTAGCCTATAGGATTAGAGGTCTTTGGACATTACTTTGGGCAAATGCAATTTAAAGGTTATCTTGATCGATAACAAATAAACCCTAACTACAAATCCCATGTAGGCCTACCTGTTGGTTGCCGTGGAAACGCCGTGTTGTATCTCCACCTTTATATATACAGTCTATGATCTCCACAGGCAGGTAAAGTGGAAACACGGGTTGCTCATTATTACCCTCAGTTAAATAGCGTGTTGCTGAGTTTGTCGGTCATTTTTTTAATAGGCCAACATTAAATCAAGGTAGGTTCATAACCGGATGTAAAAGGGAACAGAGTATTCAATTGTGTTTCTATACAAAATATAAGAACTGCAAGTTGTCTGCAACGTAATAGTTTGTGGCCGCTCCGTAATTACTGGGTTATGACAGCAAAGCTATATCATGTGTTTGAATATTCGTGATAGGCCCTATACGATGTTAAAAATATGAGGCTTTTTGTTTTTCAAATGAATTGCGTATGATCTTCTTATTTACGATGAAGTCACTGTCCTTCAACAGGTGACTGAATCTATAGAGGTGTGATTATGTATGGAGCTCCAGTGGATTTATCTTTCAAAAACATCTGCAGTTTGGAAGGTATACACTTATACACAGGTTTATACTTTTACTGTATTATGTTTATTTGTATTATCTTTGCTTTTTAATGACTGTTTTTAAATGCCATATTCTTAATGTCTTTCATTTGTGTAAAGCACTTTGAATTGCCTTGTGTTGAAAGGTGCTATACAAATAAACTTGCCTTGCCTTGCCTTGTAGCCAATACTATTGTGTGATTCCTACCTAAACTATATTATGACCTCTGCTAATTTTACCTTTGCTTAAATGGCTGAACATTACAGTGGATTACCATTAAGTTATCTAAACATCAGGGGAACAAAATCAGCATATCAATGGATCCAAAAATACGAATGGTCTAATGTACTTTGCTAGCAAAAAATGAAAAAGCCTATAAGATAGCTACTTCATGTGGAAGACAGTAATACATAAAAAGGCATATACATGTTAAATTAAGCAGGGTTAACAACCCACACCTAAAGACACAATATCTATGTTTATATATTCTATATACTGTTTTATATAGTTATCTATACATATATCTATGTATATAGTTTAAAAACGTAACATATTTTAAGTTCAATGGACATTGACATAGACACAATACATATACAGTTGATGCCTTGGAAACTATGTTCACCATATAAAAAAAATGTCACGCAAGAAACTATTCAATTCAAAGTATATTTTTCCCTTTTCTTTGGTCTCAGACGCATGGACTGAAGAACCCAGCAGGGGTCTGCGGCCTTTAAAGAGAAATTCAGAGATGAAGTACCCAAGCTGCTCTCTACGTCTCAATAATAACAACATCCTCGACCTCCATGACCTCCAGAAGACGGTTAGCTACTTCCTGGCCGAGCCTTCACAGCTCGCCTGGCTGGACCTCTCCTTCAACAGCATCTCACACATAGATAAAGTAAACTTCCTCTTTCCTTGGATTAGCATGTCTTCTTTCTCCCACAGTACATCTGCAATATGCATGTACATGTGTGTGCTTGTGTTCCAGGTTTTGTGCGAGCTGCGTGAGCTGCGTGTGTTGTATCTTCACGGCAACAGCATTTTCATTCTCTCAGAGGTGGACCGGCTGGGAGCACTACCACATCTACACAGCATCACTCTGCATGGAAATCTCATAGAAACCAACAAGGCTTACAGGTGGAGAGTTTCTTTTAAATGTACCCCAAACACATTCTGCTTAGCTGTATGATGATACTTTTAATGATCAGTCATTGTTGTGTGGTTATTTATTTAAAAAACTGAGTGTGAATGAATGTGCAAAGACATATTTTTCCAAATCTTGCACTGAACTTTCATTTTGAACATATTTCTTGTACAATTTTTATAGTATCTTTTTCATTTTTATTTTATTTTTACTGTCATAGTCTATATTTATATTTTTGATTAAGCAGTACTTTCCTGTCATTGTATTTTATTTGTATACACTTGATTTTTATGGGATGCACCAAAACACCAAGGCAAATTCCTTGTAAGTGAAAACCCACCTGGCAATAAACCTTATTCTGAATCTGATTTAACAATATACAACTGCTGGTGGTTTGCTGAGTGAGACTCAAATACTTGGCAAGCCTGTAGGTGCTCAGCATTGTAACAGGTGCTTAAATGCACATCAAGCTCATGTTACAGTTCATATTCCAGTCTGCATAGCAACACCACAAGCACACACAGAAAGAGAGAGGGGCTGCTGGTCAAAGGTCTATTCTAATGAACCAGGTTCTCATAAATCCTGTACGTTTTTGAATCATTTGTATTTAAATGTGTAACACCAGAAAGGGGAAATAAGGTTGGATTTCAACATTCAATTGTTGCAAGCAAAATGTATTAAAACGATTTAGTGCGTGTGCATCAATACTTGTTTTTGTCCCTTTAGGAATCATGGGATTTCTGCTCTGCCTCAGTTGAAGACGATGGACTTCAGTGCTGTGACCCGACAGGAGCGAGTCATGGCAGAGATTTGGCATCAGAGCAACAGCCGCATCAGAAGCAACAAGTTGTTAAAATCATAGTTTCACCCAAATGTCCTGTGCCCCAAATCCATTGCTATAATTAAAGGACAATCATTGATCAAGTAAGGGGTGGGAATTAATAAGCATTTGCTTCCTCCTACTCCCCTTTCGGACACATATGATTTATTATTATTATTAATATGAAGACTTTTAGTTTTTTGTTGAATATATAAATATTATCATGAATGTGGATAAATACTGTATTTTAACAATACGGTATTCTGTTTTTCACATGTTATTTTTTTTATTTGTTATTTTTTTAAATCTGTTTGAAATAAAGATTGAAATGAAATAATCATTTCTAAAACATTGTTTCCTTGAATATTTATGGTTAAATCAGCACTTTTTTCAATGCTTTTGTCCAATTTCTTTGATGGAATTAATAGTTTGTGCATTAACATACTGCTGATGTGCAGCCACTTCACGGGTATAAGCAATAAGACAAGAGTGCTTATGTTGAAAATCTTTAATGAGATAATTAAACCAAAAAACAAACAAAAACAACCAATTCTTAAAACTTTTTGGTGCTAGCCTAAGATATATCAAACATATGTCAGGTAGTAAAACACATTTGAGTAACAGAAACAAATGCCAAGAACCCATTGCAAAAAGCTCAAATCAATTGCGTGGTTGAAGTAATCACAGCCTTGCAGACCATCCCTTTAGAGACTGCTCCCTGCACACGCATACAGTCATGTGCTCTCCTCCAAAGAGCAAATAAACATTTGAAAAACACAAATAAATAATCACAAAAGGTCTCGGATAATTTTATCTGTTGTGGTACAGGTTGTTAGCGCTCCCCCAAACTGCTACAATGGTTAGTTTCTGATTAATATGAACAACTCAATCATATTATAGTCTGCAGCGAAAAGCTTTGTTTAAAAGCTAACAATTGCAGGCCTTAAAAGGGTTCTTCTGTTTCATAAAAACATTTGTTATCACTACTCAAATCTTAGCCAATCCTGACCAATGAACTCTCTACAAAAAGAGGAACTTCATACAACTCATGTTTTTATGATCAATCAGAAAATTCTGTACAAAGGCGGCATGAATACATGATTAATCTCCGTGCACCCTCCACCTGCCCGCCCTCTCATCGCTGTATGCCTCGTCTGCTATTAAATATGTGAAGTTCTGGGATTCGATTTAAAGAGTTTGCCAGATACATTTTCTCAGTGCTATTCAAAAAAAGCAGAGGACACATTACTGTCTGTAAACTCAAAACCAGTGACATTAAGCCCACCCAGCTTACCCCTGCTTATGTTCGCATCCTCACCCTCCAGAGTACAACAACCATAAACAGGTCAATTTAGCCTCAAATGGAACAACAGATTACCCACTGGACAACAAATAACCAACTATTTACTGATTAAGTTTGGGTGGTAGGGAGACATGGTTGGTGACGTGTGACACCAGATAACTAGGATGTTTTATGCCTAAGTCTCTGCAGCACACATCAGGACTGTAGTAGTAAACCTTCTTAATTATAGTGACATCTTGCTGACATATTTTCTTTACTTGACTATTTCTGAATGTTTTCCCAACAGACAACAGAGCTAAAGGCATATTTAGTGCTAACTTTATACCATATTGCAAGTTTTTATCCTGGTGAATGGCTAAAATACCATACCATTGTACTTGCACCTACGGCACTGTGATCATTTTAATTCTTCCATGACACAGAGATTTCTTATTTCTCCATGTTCCAGTGGAGATTGTATACACACCGATAGCTAATGCATTGTGCCAGAAATCCTTCAACTCTATTCCCAGGTGAATACACTGTACATCCTTCCATGCCTTTATAACAGTCTGTTTGCCTGAGTGTACAGGCTAAGGGAACAAACTAAATTATACTGTGAATAAAATTAGGGAGATCAACAAGTAGGATAAATTATGATTTTCCAGCTGGTTCTGACTGAGTCTGTGATCCACGCATTGCCTACAGAGGAGTAATTGTTGTAAATAATAGAGCACACCCCAATGGCCCTTCTATAGTAGACCATCTTCCCTTGCCCATGCTGATTTGTCACTGACCCATAATTATGTACACTAAATTAAGACGGCCATAGGGTGCAATCCTACATCGTCTCTGTCTTTATAGCAGTTAGAGGCATAGCTAACAAGCAGAAAGGACTGAGATGCTTTAATAAATGGTGGGCTTGTGGGTGTTGATGCAGAAGTGACATAAAAGAGAGCGTGATGGGAGAAACAGTATGCAGGCCATGGTAGCAGAATCAGGGAATGGCAAACTGGACCACCAGTTCTTCTTTAGCATCCACTTTGATTTGTGAAATTGCACTGTAAGCGTACGCTGCTATCTTGGATATCTGCAAAGAAAAAGAGAGACAGCGTTTATGTCGAGTGTGAAAAAAGATACAATTCACAGTTTCCATGTGTAAAAAAAAAAAGACTAGACTACTGGACCAACAGAATGTCTTGGACACAAACCGTTATAACAGAAAAGTATTAGATATCCTTCAAATCTATTTTCAGCCGCACACAAGTCCCACTCCAACACACTGAAATACCTAACAGCTACATGTTGAATGCCAAATGTCCCTCTGATGTTAAATCTAGCCAACAAGGAAGCACACGACAAGAAGCAATGTGGGGGGTAGAAAGACATGCCAACATTTCTCCCGTGTGCTAGTGTTTGATTACCTGTTGAACATCTGAGTATGGCACCAGGTCACTTGCAAGCACTTGGTGGGGCTGGCTGGTGAGGGAGGGGAGAGCGAGAGCTTTCCTCTGGGGCAGACTGTTACTCAACACAGCCAGCTTAGTACTGAAACAAAACAAAAGCTGTATTATCAAAGCTGTAGGAAAGAGGTTTGGTTAAAACACAGTTTGTCACCTTGAAGCTTAAACCGGATTGTTGTGTCCTCAGAACCTCCAGTTTAATCTGCACCTGTATTTTAGACTAAACACAGCTGCTGTGTTTGGCAGAATTCTAGCCACTAGATATCATTGTACCTGAGGTTTAAGATAAAGTTTGAGGGCATATGCCTACGCTTTTTCATGGTTTTGTTTTTATGTAATCACTTCCTCCATTTCAATCTCAAGTCCTTGGGTGGGTGTTGGAATTTTAAAACATTGTTTTCAGTTTCATTCTCATCCCCTTCCTCTATGACAACACAAACCATTACATGTCTTTTGGATATAAAGCTGGCTCATGCCTCAGTAGTTTAAGGCTGATCTCTCTTTCCCATTAGATAGACATTTGTGAGATCTAGTATAACCAGACAACACAACCCAGTAATGCTCTAAACAGTGTCCATGCAGGATGTACAGCACAAGGCAGGATGTACAGCACAAGGTAGGCTCAAAATCTTACAAACTAAGAAGGTTATCATTAAATGGCTCTCATAACAAAAATACAAGCTCTTTTAATAGTTTATTAGCTGCCAGTAGGACTGAAAGAGAGACTCATGGCAGGCACGTTTTAGTAACTTCCCCTCTTTCAGGGCTTTCTTCTTTTCTGCAATTTCCTCCACAGTTGGACGGCTGATTACGCCCATCCCATACCCATACAAGGAAAACAAAATGGAAAACTGCAGAAACCAACAAATACTGCCTACTGCTCAGTCACATACCTGTATTGTCTAGCTTTGTCCATGTATTCATGCTGCTCCATCATGACAGAGTCAGCTGCTGAGACATCAATGATGTTCCTGACAGAGAGGAACAAATGGCAGTTTCAATAAAGGACTGTATGAATAACTGCTTTATTATTAGGAAACATGCTGAATCTGGCTCGTCTGTGTGTGCACGAAGGACTGTCTTACTGTGCCGTCTTAGTGAGGATGGATGTAAGGAGGGCCTGCTCATCTGTCCTTGCGGAGGGGACGGTAGTGATCCAGTCGGTCCCATTTGGCGGTTTACTGACAGGGTCCGGGTGGGGGATCAGCGGCTTACGTTCATTACGCTAGAAGGGATGATCAGAAAAGGAATAGGTAAAAAGGTTCAGCTCATGACATTTTAATGAACTGTGTAGCAATTAAAATGTACAGAAATAAGTGCCACAGAACATTCATTACCTAACTTTAGTTTTATGCAGCATGACATTAAACATGATCAATGATTGATAAGGAATAATAAAGTACCGTTTGACCCATTACAATTATTTCCCTCATTAGATACTTTATAATTAAAGATTACTGTCAAAATGTTACAATTAGATGTGGTGTCAAAGGCTTGATTTATCAACAGCACTAGCAATGCATTTGTCAACAACACAACACTTATGTTGTTAGTACATTAAGTAAAGCTTGAGAAAGATGTAGGCCCTTTGTACATAGCATATTGAAATAGGCAACCCTTTCACTATTAGGTTTAGGCTGTACACCAGGGCTATTCAATTGGCGGCCCGCGGGCCAAATCCGGCCCCGGGGTGATATTTACTGGCCTTTTGAGTATAATGTTAAAAAGTAATCAATTTTTTTTTTTTTTTTTTTTGTGCCATAGTGCCTTTATTCCAGAGAGGGTGTTACATTGAGAGATAGAGGGGTAGACAATGCCTGAAAACTTCGACGGGCTCGGGTTTCGAACCCACCTACTATACTGTAGTGACAACTCCTGTCATTGATTGCATCTCTGCGTGAATGATTAGATCATTTCACCTAAATGAAATCAAATGAAACATGTAGGCCTACTGAGTTCTGAACTTGCCATTTAGATCTATAAAGGCCTTGGGGCTATGTTGTTTGATTGAATTAAACACAATATATGCACTCCACTATGCTGTTGTAGTATTTACTGTATCTGAAGCTCTTAAATATGATTGCTCATATTTCAAGCCATCTTTTTCCCGGCCCCTTGCTTTGGATCATTTTCATCAACCGGCCCCCATTCCAAACTAATTGAATAGCCCTGCTGTACACAATATTCATACAAAAATTGTTATACAAGGGTTTTAGTTTTTTTGTAACCAAAATAAATGTGTTTAAACCAAGACAACCCATTTCTCAGAAACATTTTTCCTGAATTGTAGTCGTTTCCCTTTCCTTTTTTTACATACATATTCCCCTAAATTGCAG